GTGACGTCCGTTGTGTTGATCACATACCTTTTTCATAGTAATAAAACATCACTTATCAATATTGGAATTGGCCAAAACAAATACTAGTAATAGGTCTTTCAATTACGATTTTCGTTGCTTGACATTGATCAGGTATTATTACTAATAGTAACTGATTGGACAAGCCGAAATAAGTTTTTGGAGGGGAAGTCACGTGACCGTGACGGCATAAATAGTTCAGCTTATTTACGGTTTGTTTTACAGTTCTAATCTTGATGTCAAATTAGTTTTTAGAGCTAATGGCATTTGACCGTGATACGATCGTAATCGCTTTACTACAGAGTCTTGATGGTCATTAAGTAATTTACTGGTGCATGAAATAATAAATTGAGTTTTAAGTGGACTTTATCAATGGTATATGGTTGATGTTAATTATCTTTACAAAGTGCGGTACATCAGCTTGACCCATGACATTATATTATATGTTATTTATATAGCGCTATAGCCCAGCCCATCTACATGCATGAAGGATAACTAAGAGATATTTCAATATTAGTAACTGTGAAATGAAAGTGAAATGTGCGGCATATTCAATTTAAATTTCATTCACTGCCGACGTGGCATGTTCAATTTAAATTCCATTCACTGCCGACGTGGCATATTCAATTTAAATTTCATTCACTGCTGACATGGCATGTTCAATTAAAATTTCATTCACTGCCGACGTGGCATGTTCAATTTTAATTTCCATTCACTGCCGACGTTGCATGTTCAATTTAAATTTCATTCACTGCCGACGTGGCATGTTCAATTTAAATTCCATTCACTACCGACGTGGCATGTTCAATTTAAATTTCATTCACTGCTGACGTGGCATATTCAATTAAAATTTCATTCACTGCCGACGTGGCATATTCAATTAAAATTCCATTCACTACCGACGTGGCATGTTCAATTTAAATTTCAATCACTGCCGACGTGGCATATTCAATTTTAATTTCATTCACTGCCGACGTGGCATGTTCAATTTAAATTTCATTCACTGCCGACGTGGCATGTTCAATTTAAATTCCATTCACTACCGACGTGGCATGTTCAATTTAAATTTCATTCACTGCTGACGTGGCATATTCAATTAAAATTTCATTCACTGCCGACGTGGCATATTCAATTAAAATTTCATTCACTGCCGACGTGGCATGTTCAATTTAAATTCCATTCACTACCGACGTGGCATATTCAATTTAAATTTCAATCACTGCCGACGTGGCATATTCAATTTTAATTTCATTCACTGCCGACGTGGAATGTTCAATTTAAATTTCATTCACTGTCGACTTGGCATATTCAACTCAGATTTTATTCACTGCCGACGTGGCATATTGAATGTAAATTCTATGATCAACTAGCATGAAAAAAAGACAAATAGACAAACTACAATTTAGTAACTCCCCTTTATTGTCAGCCTACCCCAGCTTAAACATACGCAATGGAATGTTATGTTACTGGTTAACGTCACTGTTCATCACTGACAATCTCCACATATAAGATGGCTGACCCAGCAGGTTCAGGCATGACCATGAAAAATACGATATGTATTAAAATCTTTCAATTTATTTTTTAACATAGTCACCCTTGACTTTTGTACACTTGACTCAACGTTTCTCCAACATTTGTAACTCATCCGAAAACCACAGTTTGTCACGTGACCCTAAATAGTCATCCACCGCATTAATAACGTGTTCATGTGTTCAAATGTGCGGTTCAGATTTGAGCCGAGGAAAGAGAATGAAGTCACAGGGGGCTAGATCTGGAGAATAGGCTGGATGTGGTAGGATCTTGACGCCACGGTCCTGTGCCGCGCTGACTGCTATTTGAGCAGTGTGAACTGGAGCATTGTCTTGAAGCAGCCATACTCTTCTGCGAAGATTACCTCTGCGTTTTTCTTTGATGTTGCCACGCAACCTACGCAGTTCATCTGCATTGGTCGCACCCTTAAGTAAATGGTCTATCATAATCATTGCCAAGACTAGAGGCCATGGCCATTGCAACTGGAATGAGTTCTTTTGAACTTTTTCGGCGTTGGTGAGGTCACGTGTGTCCACTGCATACTTTGACGTTTTGTCTCAGGATCAAAATGATGAGCCCAGGTTTCATCCTGCTTTACCAGATGAGCCAAAAAGCATGGGGATCTGTCCTATAGTCACCAAGAAGTTGTTGACTACACATGACCGTCTTTGCTCCTCTGATAACCCGTGAAGGTCCGGGTTAGAATGAGCCTTCAGTAACCCCTGCTTGTCGTATGAGGCGACTGACGGCATCGGGTGGTCAGGCTCGCTGACTTGGTTGACACATGTCATCGGTTCCCAATTGTGAAGATCAATGTTCATGCTGTTGATCACTGGATTGTCTGGTCCAGACTCGATTATTTACAGACCGCCGCCATATGGCTGGAATATTGCTGAGTGCGGCGTAAAGCTAAACTCACTCACTCACTCATTGTTCCTCTGATAAAATTCTGGCAACCCAACTAACACATTCCCCATGTGCAAATGATGATGAATAATTCGCTCCACTGACGTTCTACTAATGCCACATCCAGTAGCTAACTGCCAAATAGTCACACTCCTGTCCTGCATTTTTGTGCCAAGAACAACATGGACTTTACGAGTGTTAGCACCAATGGCTCCAGGTGTAGTTCTCTTTGACGACTCTCAAATTTTAGCAATTAAATTGGCTCTGCCTGTAAGAACACATGGTTTTCATTGGAAGCATCATACATAAACATACTTATCTCGTAATAATGAAAATCTTAAGTCAACGTTTACAGACTGCCACCATATAGCTGTAATATTGCTGAGTGCGGCGTAAAACTAAACTCACTCACTTAAGTCAACGGACCCGTGAAGGTCCGGGTTAGAATGAACCTTCAGTAACCCATGCTTGTCGTAAGAGGCGACTAACGGGATCGGGTGGTCAGGCTCGCTGACTTGGTTGACACATGTCATCGGTTCCCAATTGCGCAGATGTTCATGCTGTTGATCCCTGGATTGTCTGGTCCAGACTCGATTATTTACAGACCGACGCCATATAGCTGGAATATTGCTGAGTGCGGCGTAAAACTAAACTCACTCACCCACTGAAGTAGGGCTTGATGTACTCGTTATTACTATCCATTTGCTGTTTATTGAGTGACAGTTTGACCGTTAACTGGTATTTTATACTTTTCAAATCGTCCAACTCCTCATTGTTTTTGCTGGCTATGATGGGTTTACCACTGTTTACATCGACATTAGAATTCAGTACCATCCGCCAGACTCTCAGATACTTACCAATCTCAACTCTACCGGCTCTGTGTTGTCGAGCAATGTCAACAATTGGCCATGCGAGAATAACCAGTCAGCCCACGTTGACGAGCTTGACCTTTGAGCTCTTGTACGTTTGATATATTTAATGTCCAGCAATGTCAGCAATTCGGCCTTTCTCATGCGAGAATAACCAGTCAACGTAAAACGCAGTTACCGAAATGCGCACGTAAAATCTCCAAATTATCAGCAACAGCGGCGCTACTGCATACTTACTGAATGTCTTTGACAGATTGATTGATTGCTGTTTAACGCCGCACTCAGCAATATTGCAGCTATATGGCGGCAGTCTGTACATAATCAAGTCTGGACCAGACTCTTGTAAACAACCTATGCACTATTATGAATAAATACATCCACATATGTAAATGCATGCATAAACAGTTAAATTTTAACCATCTCCTACAAATTATAAAACTTCATTATAAGGTTGAAAAGTATATATTCGGTAAATTTAATGAAAACTTTTTGAGAAAATGGTGTGGCCTCTCTCCAACCCTTCAACGTCCCTCCCCTCCCCTCCTCTCTCTTGTCGCTTTTTGCATATATAAAAAATAAAAAGGAATTATCTTCCCAATTGACTTAAGAATCCCATGACATTCCCCAGATCGGCATCTAGATCTCCCAGGGACACATTCGTGGTCAAACCCAGCACACGGGTATATAAATGAGTTCCATGTAAAATGGCTGCAGCAGTCCGGTGTTGAACTCACCTTTAGCTTGCTTTGCTACTATCAATGTAGAAATTGCTGTGTTTGTGTTATAGATTGCAAGTATCATTTCAATATGACTGTATATGATTCTGGGAAAATAAATGTAAGTATCATCCAAAATAAAAAAAGACTGCACCAGACAATCCAGGGATCAACAGCATGAACATCTGCGCAATTGGGAACCGATGACATGTGTCAACCAAGTCAGCGAGCCTGACCACCCGATCCCGTTAGTCGCCTCTTACGACAAGCATGGTTTACTGAAGACCCATTCTGACACGGATCTTCACGGGTCACTACAGCTGTGAATAGCTTTTCTAAATATAAGTATTGCTTGCCCTCATATCGCCTACACCCCATTTCGCCTACACCTCATTTCGCAAACAATAATTAGAATGTCCAGTTCTACCACCCCTATCATAATAATGGGTATTACCCAACTGGCTGTTAACAAACAAATAGATCTTGTACAGGTTTTGATTGTATAAACATGACCTGCTTATGTTCTTTCTTTGATCAACCATACATCAGGCCGTCCTTTGCCACTGTACAAGCCGCCTTTTACAGACACAGAGCCAAGTCGGTTCCGCCAGTTCCTGATTCCAGAGCCAACGTCAACCTGCAAGATCCATGGACCAATGGTTGCAGGTGTACATTGTTCATTGTCTGGTGGATGGCAGGATGGATCAGGCCGTCCTTTGCCACTGTACAAGCCGCCTTGTACAGACACAGAGCCAAGTCGGTTCCGCCAGTTCCTGATTCCAGAGCCAACGTCAACCTGCAAGATCCATGGACCAATGGTTGCAGGTGTACATTGTTCATTGTCTGGTGGATGGCAGGATGGATCACAAGATTCTCAATGAATGTAAACTTACACTTAATTGTGTCGTAAATGTCACTCCATATCGGAGAGAAAACGCCACATTACACAAAAATGGCCAGCTTCATAGTTTGATCAATTTTATTAAAGCTAATTTAACTGGATTTCCATCAATCGAAGTGCGACGCCTCCCTCTACGGAGACAGATACAGGCTCCCCTCCTGTCAGTCTCTCAGTGAGGTTGTACACACTCATGCCATCGATTTCCAGCTGGAACAAAAGAAAAAAGCAAAAGCCACTGCAAGGATTATTTTGTTGGGGCTAGTGCTAGTTACTGAGTTTAGTTTTACGCCGCTTCTAGCAATATGACGGCAGGGCAACACCAGAAATGGGCTTCACACATTGTACCCATGTGGGGACTCGAACCCGAGTCTTCGGCGTGACGAGCGAACGCTTTAACCACTGGGCTATCCCACCGTCCTTTTCGGGCTATAATTTCAGTCAACACATAAATAATACGAACACAACTGGTTAACTGGTTAAGATCGGACACATTATTATGTTGTCCTCTGATTCAAACCAGCTCATATGTCTCGTTTCCAGTGTTCGCTCCCCTCGCCTAAGGCCCAGGTTCGAATTTCGGCACAGGTATACACGCTTTGACGTACTTTCAGCTTGTTCGATTATGCCGACTCTGTATATGTACTTTGATCATTTAGAATTCCTCTGTCTTCGAATGATTTCAGGTTAGTGAAAGAGGCGGTGGGATATCCTAATGGTTAAAGCGTTCGCTCGTCACTCCGAAGACTGAGAATCTTGTGGTGGTGTGTGGTCCTGTGCCCAAAACAGTTGAAGTTAAGCATCGTTGGGCATGGAGAGTCCTTAGATGGGTCACCGTGTTTGGCAGCTTGACTCCTGAGAGTTTCTAGGACTTCAGGACTAGGACAAGCACCCCACAACGAAGCACATGTGATACATGTGGTCTCACCTTAGGCAGTGAGTTTGTTCAAAATTGCCTCTGTTCACCCAGCAGAAAAATGGTACCCGCTGGGTTATGTCATGTAGCCATTACCCTCCTAGCGCTTCACAGGCAGCTTGGGTTATCCGGGGTAAGAACAATCACATTGTTTGGGCGCTTCGAGCATGCATTGTGCATGGAGAAATGCGCATCATAAATGGACTATTATTATTATTATTATTATTATTATTATTAAGACTCGTGTTCGATACCCCACATGGGTACAATTTGTGAAGCCCATTTCTGGTGTCCCCTGCCTTGATATATTGGTGGAAGAGGGCTAAAAGTGGCGTGGAACCATACTCACTCACTCACTCAGTTAACTCAGTTTACTGAGAAAACTGTAAATGCCTATCTCTAATTATGAAATGAGACAAATACTGAATTAATTTCATGTGATTATATACGAAATCATGGTATATTATAAGTTGTTCACTGGTCTCAATGGGGACATGGGCTGATGTACCCTCGATGTTTGTTTATGTTATCATATAGAAACATCGTCGGTACATCAACCCATGAGCCCCGAGGGACCAGTATTTATCTTACCGAACACCTCAATGATAAGTTTGAACTGTTTGAAGCACGGGTATCGGATCATAGTATGGAGTACCAGACGACAAAACAAGAAAGACAAATTTAGAGTTATCTCCCTTCCATCGATTTGCATTCGCAAAATATCGGTAATTTCCGTGAATCATACGTGATTCAATGTTATTCGAGATAAAGAATTACTACTACGAAGTACCACATTAGTTCGGCATTCCCAGCGGGGTACATTTAAAAAATAATAGAAGAGCGCTCAGCCAATCAGAAAACGACATTTATGAGTGAGGCAAGATAAGTAGATATGCACTGTATCTGTATATGAGCCTGTGGTTAAACGTATAAAGATTTAACCTTCCGGTAACACACAACTCTGCAAAGCAGTAATCCAATTAACTTAGGTGACCACGAGCGTAGAGCATTCAGAAGCCCCATAATAAACGTGGTGTAAAAATCGCCACACTTACAACAAAAGCAAAAGTTGCTTTATGAAAGAGGCAAATAGATGACCAATTCCTACATTTCTGGTGACCTCGAGAACGGGAACGAAATCAGACACGTACCCTGTATATTCCACTGTGAAGTGTTATCTGGATCTCTGTTTCATGTCCTACAGTCATGGGTAGATGGCCGTCAGCAGTAATATGTTCACCCCACAGTCCATTAAGTAGCGAGTTTAAGACGGTTTCATTTCTACTCTCACCAAACAGAATACGGAACTCTAACAAGGCAAGTACATTATCGTCTTTCCACAGCCATATATTCCATCTGCAATTAAGAGTTATCAGAGTTGAGAGTTAGAATATCACAACCGCACGCACGCACACACACTTTGCTTGACTGTCTCAAATGACGTAAATACATTTCCCGAATTGGTAAGTTGCAAAGGCACGAATTTTCACTCCAAGATCTGAAACGGATTCCAGATCGTTGAGGAATACGTTTGGAATACAATGATTTTACTATCAAACGTCTCAACACTCCTCATCCAGATTGGCAAGGCAGTGGACATCAGAATCAGTGCAGTCTTAACGTCAATTTCATACTCCTATCGTTAAGCTAAATATTGATCTCGACTTTGTTCACCATAAAGTGCCAAGAAAATGTGAGCAGCTTTGCTTTCCACAGAGGTTGTTTTGCAAGCCTGAATTACGCTTGGGACCATACAGTGTCTTGCAAGAATGAATGACGGGTTTGCTACAGAGCGTCTAGAATATGTGAGTCTCTCTCAGGGACCCTTGGTAATAAAAGGATCTGTTTTGCAAGGATGGTTGCCCCGAGCTTCCATATATTTGATGTTACAAGAATGAATGACCACTTCTAACGTGGAGTGTTTAGAATAAATGAGTGGAACTGGTTTCAACTGCCTGTTTTTAACGAATGAATGACTCTGGATTTTAAAATGGCCTGTCTTGCAAGAATGAAGGCCTTTCGATGATTATTTTTCAAATAACTACCCCGGTATTTATCCCTGTTAAATTGCCACCTTTGTTATCTGAATCATGCCTGAATTAGCAATCCCTGGCTTCCACTTGTCCATCTACCAAGTAACTACTGGTTTACCTTGTTATATCATAACTGTTGTTGTTTTAACATGTACATATATAGCTGTCTGTTCCTAATTGTTTCATTCACCTGATGAAGGCGTAAGAACATACTTCGAAACGTCGTGACCCTTCACAACAAAGAAGTTGACATCGAAACGTCGTGACCCTTCACAACAAAGAAGTTGACATCCATAAGATGTTTGCCTTTACCCCGGTACTGTCTGAAACTATATCCCACGTTTCGACATAAACTTATCAGTTTCTAGAAACAAAACTTATGTCAGGAGTGATATTTCTGGAAAACCTTACAAAGCATATTTGATCAGGGTAACAGCATCCACTGCCTCTGTTAAGCTTTCAATCAGGTAAAATGTGTCGTATCAATGCAACAAACTGTGTATGATGCAATTCTCTATTTTGACATGTACTATAATCACGCTGTCGTAATTGTTTCACGAGAACAATCGACTTGACTATGTGACACCGGTGAAGCAGGATACGCTCAAATATGTGCCAACACCTGGTGTCATTAACAAATGCTGATTACAGTCGGGATCGTACAGTAACATGTCCTGTTAGCCACAGTTTCAGCAGAAGTGCTTCTGGGCAGTGTCACGCCATATAATGTTACGCTTTTAGGCAAATTGTGTGAACGGCGTTACCGGTGGGGCAGAACATACTGAACAGAATGTGCGAACACCTTGATTTTTCAGTGGCCCATTCACATAATTGTCACAGTTTTACCTTATACGCTAAATGGAATCTGAGAATAGTCAAGACTGAAATTTTACATTTAATGATCATTGCCCGTCTTCGTTGATAATATTAAAAGGATGGTTATCATTACCTCGTAGCTTGGTTCGGTGTTCCAATGAGGGTTGCTCTGAACTCTCTTGATGGTCCACATGGAAGTGCATACTTTACGTCAAGAGCCTGCAAGGAACGTACTTTCAAAAGAATGGAATTACACCAGAATATTGCGCAAGAAAGAAATCATTTTTATCACATTTCTTATAGATTGTATATTTGTATTGGCATAAAGTTACATTTAAGAAGATAAAGTAATAATTACTGGATGATTTGACTTACCGGATTGTGCCAAACATTCTGACTACACAGACCAGTCATCAGATTCTCCCATTGTCCAGAGGATTGGCAGATGCTGGTAACTTTGTCATGACAGGCTGTGAAGTCCTGCCTGCAGGTGTAAGTTGTAACACCACCCTGGTAATGACCCTCGTACGTCTTGCTGGCGTCTGTCACCTCTGGGGGCTGACCACACCCACGGAATTCTGAAATATTTGTAAGATATGACGAGTGTGAAAATAGTTGCACCAACGTCTTTGTCGTCTTGTCAATGCATCGGCAGTCTCTTAGTTTCCCTGGGCTAGATGTATCAATAGTATCATAGTTTCCCTGTCCAAAATGCATCAACAGTATCTTAGTTTCCCTGTCATAGATGCATCTGTGGTAACTCAGTGTCCTTGTCAAAGATGCATCAGTAGTTCCTGGTTCTTTTGTTCTGCTGTCAAGGATGTGTAAGTAACAGTTCAGTTATCCAGAAGCACTACTGCTTGTTAATTCTACAAATGCTGAAGCTTGTCCTAATAAAGCTCTTATCATCTTGTCCAGCCTCGACCATTAACTGGTCGTCATCATTTAGCCACTTTAAAATACAAGACTGTTCCTACTGCTACGGGCATCAAGGAGTGGATCGTTGCTCAAAATATTAATCACTGGATTATCAGGTCCAGGCTTATCTATTTGCAGGCCACTAGCGAGTGAGGCGTTATAACTACTACTACTGCTGCTACTATGACTACTACTGCTCCTGCTGCTGCTGACATTACCACATATTACCAACATTCATCCAATTTGTTCCTCAAAGGAGGTTGAAGTAAAATTATTGCCTCCTAAGAGGATTCATAAGTCCCAAAACATTCAAAGTCAAGTTAATCTCCCCACTGTTTTTAATCGAAGAATATGGGGCATTTTAATTAATGGCTAGATTTTTCCAAATTGCTAACAGCTGAAGGGATGGTGTAAATCCAGCTAGGGTCCATGCAGGAAGCAAATGTTCTGTAAGTGGTCTCCGTGGTCTCTAGTATGGTAATCCATCTTCAGTTGTTAGCGATATATAGCCTGTTTTTATATTGTATCGTCTTTTATAGTTAAACTGTTTTAGATTCAATTACTAGTTTTAAATTTATATCTGTGATAGTCTAGTTGTTTTACTGTCCTTCGTTGACAGGTGTTTATAATTTACGTTTAATTATTATTAATCTATAACTTGATTTAGTCACGATGTTGCTGAAATATTGCTGATGTGACTTAAAATCTTAACTCACTTACTCACTCATCCGATCTGTGTTAACTCCTATCAACAAACTGAGAAGTTGTTTTCGTTAAAATATAATTAATTCTTAATGCATCTGACATTGACTACTAGTATATGAAAGAAAGATAGCTACCTGGAACGCAAGTTGCACGACCAAGTCGGTCCACCTGACATCGGGATGATGCCGGGCACGACACCACAGAACATGGACCAGAGAGAGGCTAGAAATAAAAAAGGCGTGTTAGTTGGGTACAACATTTCATAGCATTAAATACTCGCTTATTTTAGTATATTGAGATTCCTCAGCTCACAGTCCAGCACTAGTAAGCACTAAATATTGGTTTTAATGAGATTAGGACAGGTCTGCTCAGTTTGTGGTAATCATGACAATTCTGAATTTGAAAGTTGCAACTTGATAGTAGTCATGCAATCTTATTCATGTTTTTATAAGAAAGGGGCGGTGGGGTAGCCTAGTGGTTAAAGCGTCCGCTCGTCACCCCGAAGACCCGGGTTCGATTCCCCACATGGGTACAATGTGTGAAGCCCATTTCTGGTGTCCCCCGCCGTGATATTGCTGGAATATTGCTAAACGCAACGTTATAAGAAAAATATAGAGGATTGCCTTAAAATCAGAAGAAATGCAGACTTCACAGAGTGAAAATGTTTGTACTTCAGAAGATTTGGTTATTTTTGCTGGTCAATGTGCAGATACTATATAGATACTATTCCGTGAAATAGAGCATCACTTTCAAAATACAAATTATTGTTTCCGCCATATAGCTGGAATATTGCAAATTAATGTTAATTCTGAATATCACGTATACTGCAGTTACTTGTTATTACATTGTTCTGTTAATTTGAGTATATTTAAATGAACATCATTTGAAATTGTAATATATCAATTCATGCATATTTTATTGTCACTATTTCATGAACATGATTTACCTCAGATTATCTGCTGTTCAAAATTTTATCTCGCGACATTAGTTATAAACTGTAATTATGTTTTTAAAAAACATGTTTCAACGACGTCATCTGTTTGTACGACGCCAAGTATATGTAAAGTATGTTTTCGAACTGATAATATTATGAGTTTACCACTGTGTGCCTGTGTGTGTGTATGTGTTTGTAAGAGAACATAGGTGTGTGTGTCTTTATGTGAGATTACGTGCGCTTGTACTGTATTGTATTGATTGCAGTTTAATCATATTTATACCAAACTTTTACCATCGATTCTAATGGTCTCTCAAAGCCTCCGGGTCTTTTCTGTACTTTTTATGAAATTCTGCTTTGAACAAAGAAGACATGCACGATATATTTGTACAGGAAGCGAGACTTGAATATAAGATCCTTTCTGTATACGCTGTACCAACGTGCCGGCAAAGAAATCACTTTCTTCATATATCTTATGTGTGCACAGGGCATATACAGGCCAATTTGGTACAAAGACCAGAGTTGTGAAAACAGACAACTAATTGCAACACAAGTAGTTGTTGTATGAAGGGCGTGGTAGTGAACCAATAGAGAGGGCAGGGATCGATGTGGCTGGCGTCAGGTATTTTCAGGAGTCAGTTGTCTTCATGTTATTGGCTGACGTCGATGCTGTGTTTGATGGTCCGGGTAACGTTGACATGGATGTGTTAAAAACTGGGGTGTTTGTGAGTCCACAGAACATGTTGTCATAACGAGAAACGATCATTGGATTAAAAAGCCGATGGTAATTAAGAGACTAGTGAAAAGGGTTGGAAGCATTTGTTCATTGATTGTAAAGGTTTTTCAAAGCCTCCGGTCATTTCTGTACTTTTTAGCAACCGTCGTATCTGCCTTGAACAAAGAAGATTGTAATCTTCACAAAGTTTCTATAAAGAGTGATTGAGTTAGTTTAGTTTTACGCCGCACTCAGCAATATTAAAGCTATATGGCGGCAGTCTGTAAATAATCGAGTCTGGACCAGACAATCCAGTCACCAACATCATGACCATCGATCTGCGCAATTGGGAACCGATGACATGTGTCAACCCAAGTCAGCGAGCCTGACCACCCGATCCCGTTACTCGCTTCTTACGACAAGCATGGGTTACTGGAGAACAAGTCTAACCCGGATCTTCACGGATATTTTGTATAAAGGAGATGGTGAAGATGTTTTTAGCAACATTGCAGCAATATCATGGCGGGGACGCCAGAAAAGGTTTCACACATTGTACCCATGTGAGGAATCAAAAACAGCCCTTCGGTGTGACGTGTGAACGTTTTATCCACTGTGCTACCCCAACGCCCCTGATTCGATTGTCGCCGTAGGATGACTGACTGAGTTTGGTTTTACGCCGCTTTTAGCAATATTCCAGCAACATCACGGCGGAGGACACCAGAAACGGGTTTCACACATTGTACCTATGTGGGGATTCGAACCCAAGGCTTGGCGTGACGATCCAACGCTTAAACCACTAGGCTACCCCACCGCCCCGCCGTAAGATGAAGACGTGCTGCAGGTGTTACAGGTATTGCTAATGGAAACCCAACAGACAAACACATACCTTCTTCCTTATCCTTGTCCTTAATGAACCCACAACTTCATCAGTTTCAGCTCAAACATGTACATGGAATACAGGTCAATACAGACATTGGCATCTATAAATTCGCTGCTTGTTATGACATTAAATAACCCTGTTTGCTGGTGTGGAAGTATACTTACATGAGACTACTATGAGACAATGGATTCGCAAACATGCTAGCCCGGATCTGGCCTGTGTATATTTATCCCAACAAAACATCTGTATTGCAAAGTTTTCAAAATAGAATTCAATTACCGGACAGTCATCAAACGTACATAAATTATTAATATACTCAACCAAATTAAATACTTGCTGCTTGTTGACAACACAATTGGAGTGGAGGGTGTTATATCATGACAATAGACGTGTATCATACTTCTATCATCCAGGTAACAATAAAGTCGATGAAATTGGATTGCTGCACGATTCCAACTGGAAAAATAATGTATGACGTTCCAAGTCTCCCCAAACGCGAACTTCACATAGATAATACTGTCCCATCAACGACAGGAGGACCTGTCGGGACACTCTAACCGGACGCCGTCGTTGTCGTCGTCATTGTCAACATGTGCTTGATCAAATTCTTGCAAGGTTTGGAGTTAATTCATCTGCTGTCGCACTCTTGTTTCCAGCTCATCATGAACCTGTAAAGGTCCGGGTTAGAATTGGTCTTCAGTAACCCATGCTTGTCGTAAGAGGCGACTAACGGGATCGGGTGGTCAGGCTCGCTGTCTTGGTTGACACATGTCATCGTATCCCAATTGCGTACATTGATGCTCATGTTGTTGATCACTGGATTGACTTGTCCGGACTCAATTATTTACAGAGTCCCGCCATGTGGCTGGTATATTGCTGAGTGCGGCGTTAAACAACAAATAAATACACAAAATATCATCCCAATTGTGTTGGTTCAGGTTCAAGTCTGGGGAACGAGAAGTTAAGTCCATGACTTCGACACCGGCGTTACATAAGCTGAGCGTCAGAACTGCAGCGTAGGGCGTAGCATTGTTATGTTGAAATGTTGTCTGGACCATGTAACTGCATGGATGGCAGAAGGGTTGGGGTCAGCACTTGGAGTCGATACTGTATAGCAGTAAGATTCCCCTGGACGATAATCAGCTGAGATCGACCGTTGACTCAAATGTTACCGAAGCTATTATACTGCCCCTCCAAATCGGACAGCCTCACTAACACAACACTGAGTGTGACGTCACCACCTCCTGCGTTACTGAAGATTGTCCTGTTCCAGTACCTCTGGTTGAACCAGGCATGTCTACCGACCGATCGTGAACGTTGATCATAATGAAATTGCGACAAGACCTATGAATAGTCGTGTTGGTCGGATACCTGCCGAGCGCAATCTATTCCAGTTGGTCTGTGCTGACAGTCAACCTCTGCTAGTTGAGGTTGCAGTCACAAATCTGTAGCAGATATGATTTATCATTTAAGGCCGTTTTCACCTAAGACCGAACGGCGCAAATGAGCAAAAGTCTAAAAGAAGTAAGATATGGTCACCCTGCCCTGCCCTGCCCTGCCCTGCCCTGCCCTGCCCTGCCCTGCCCCCTGCCCCTGCCCTGCCCTGCCCTGCCCTGCCCTGCCCTGCCCTGCCTGCCCTGCCCTGCCCTGCCCTGCCCTGCCCTGCCCTGCCCTGCCACAAGGGATACACATTAGTGTCCTCATCATTCAGGGTATGCATAAAATGATATACAGTGTAAGTACAAACCCCTGGCCAGTGGAGGATGTCACTGAAGAGGTATCCCGTTCTGTCAACAACATTTCCATTGGCACTGTCCTTATCGTTGAGAAGGCAGGTGCGCCTTTTCTTGTCGAATCCAAAGGAGACACATGCTGAGGACATGAGACATTCTGATGCACACATGTACAAAGACGGACTCCGGAACTTTCTGAACACCTGGTGTTCCATGTACTTGTCACGCTGTATTACAGTAGCCACTTCAAAACAGCTGTCGCAATGGACAAGCTTTACGATCCACAGAGAAATGAAAACAATTTCACCAAGGTTAGACGACATCATCCTCACAGGAAATAACACAAGCTTCCGTACCCAAACAACCTGCTGGTAAGTCTTATGCACATCAGTCGTTATCTTTCCCACAGTATCGATTCTCAGATGACACTCCCGTTTACATATGAATTTGTAATTACAAATAGTATTGTCAAGTTGCTGCTCGAGGAAAGATTCACCTTACATTCGACTTGTCTCTTATTGATGTGCTACAGAAGAACTGCTCCATTGCTTGAGTGAAAGGTACGATGACACTTGGGGAAATCAAGGACCTTATTGTCACCACTGTCCCAGAACGTTAACGTGAATACATAACCATGACACAATAGATACTCTATGAGCGGAACGCCTGCTCAGAGACCACAACGGTAAGCGGAGTTGACAGATGGGAATGCGGGAAGCTGAGTTCCAGTTCAACTTAAGGTTATTATAATAATAACTTGTGTTTGGCTGTGCTGAAATTAATTTCTAACGTGCATTCTTATTCACTATAACAACAATACCAACCCCGCAGAAATAGAAGTCAATAGTTCAAACATTCTGGGGGGCGGTAGGGTAGCCTAGTGGTTAAAGCGTCCGCTCGTCACGCCGAAGACCCGGGTTCGAATCCCTACATGGGTACAATGTGTGAAGCCAATTTCTGGTGTCCCCCGTCGTGATATTGCTGGAATATTGTTAACAGCGGCGCAAAGCCAAACTCTCTCACTCACTCACTCAAACATTCTGGAAGATGCACATTAAAGTACTTTTTGGTGGGGCAATACTTTAGCAACTTCACATATTTTCTTCTGTCCAAACTTTTATAATAATAGTCCATTTTTATAGCGACATTCCGGGATCAGATCTTGCTCAAAGCGCTAAGAAAGAAAAGGAGTGAGTCTAAAGAGTTGTCCGGAAAGCAGAGTAGTTTGGAGAAGTACGTATTTCTTGAGGGAGAATGTTCCACTGATAGGCTGCTGAATGGGAAAAAGCTCGTTGTCCATTATTAGACAGTTTGACTTTAGGTACAATGAATAGCTGTTGAGATTCTGAGCGGAGAGATCTGGATGGAATATAGGACTGGAGAGTGAGTGAGTGAGTTTGGTTTTAGCAATATTCCAGCAATATCACGGCGGGGGACACCGGAAATGGGCTTCACACATTGTAACCACGTGGGGAATCGAACCCGGGTCTTCGGGGTGACGAGCGAACGCTTTAACCACTGGGTTACCCTACCGCCCAGGACTGGATACGGTCACAGAGATAAGATGGAGCAGTATAGGAATGACACAGATAAACTAGGCACAGAAGTTTAAATTTGATTCGCTGTTTAACTGGAAGCCATGAAGTTCTTTGAGGATCGGGGTGATGTGGTCTGATTTTGGGGAGAGTGAAACAAGTCTGGCTGCTTTGTTCTGGATTGATTGCAGTCTGCTGATTACATTTTTTGGAGAACCGGCGAGGAGACTATTGCAATAATCCATCCTTGAAATTATTAGTGAAAGGGTCAATATTTCGTGCATCCTTGGTCAAACATGCTCTAATTTTCCAAAATGTTTCTTAGCTGCATGTGACGAGATCGACACAACTGGCTAACTTGTTTGTTCAAGTGAAGGTGTGAGTCTATAACTATGCCAAGGTCCTTCACGCTGGCGGAGATAGGAACCGACGCTTCTCCAAATTTGGATGGTATCAAGCCTACATTTGTTTCTCTACTAGTTCTCGTTGAGGTGAAGTTTGTTCTGATTCCTCCATGACTTGATATCTTGAGAACAAGTAAAGGTTTGTTCGGTTGATTCACGGGCCGGTTTGAATGAATTCAAAACCTGTACATCATCTCCATACATATGATGTGACAGTTTGTGTTTTTCAGTAATACCGCCGAGGGGCTTGGTATACAGGGTAAACAGCGTCGGTCCAAGTACGGACCCTTGGGGTACGCCACAATGTAGATGTGTAGGTGATGATACTTCATTTACTGAAACCTGTCTGTCAGATACGAGTTTATCCAATTCAGAGCTGATCTATGCACACCTAGTTCAGTTCTCAAGCGTATGACAAGCTTCTTATTGTCAATAGTATCGAAGATCTAGGAGTACCAACAGTGATTCATTGCCGTCATCCACACTGTGCTGCAGTGTTTCAGTGTTTTACACAAAGATTCACAGTAATACATATATGAATAAAACGTTTTCAAATACAACATCAGTATTACTTGCATGATCCAGTTGCGTAGGTAAATAAGTGGTCAATACACCAACGTTTGGCTATCAGATGTATTTACAGGTCACCGTCCAAACGTCATGTTTCTCATAAAAGGCGACTAACGAGATCGGGTGGTCAGGCTCGCTGACTTGGTTAACACATGTCATCGTATCCCAATTGCGTATACCGATGTTCATGCTGTTGATCACTGGATTGCCTGATCCAGACTCGATTAGTACAGACCACCGCAATATAGCTGGAATATTGCTGAGTGCAGTGTAAAACTAAACTCACTCACTCATTATTTTATACTCAGTGGCGTAGCTACAGCGTAGCACAAAAATCACGTGCTTACACTTTAAAATTGAAAACGAAATGTTGTGATTCCAGATGCTAATACAAATTATCATTTAATTTGTTTTCATGTTTTCTGGGTGGTTTCTGGTATAGTACCGTGGCACCCAAACGCAACTTGCCTCGCGGATCATTTATAGATAAACGTGTTTTGTCTACACTATGCAACACATTATGTCTGGAAACAGGCCGAAATCGTTTGTTCAGTAGGCGATATCGTTGATCTGTTCTTTGAAATTGTTTTACCCCTTAATTATTGTATCGTTTGTTATGTGCAGAAATGAGTAAAAATCTGCAAAACGTTCATCTACAATTGATTATTACTTCGTTAAACAACCCAAATTGACTGAAACGCCCGTTTTACATGACAATAGTACCCAGTGTTCCCAAACACATTCTGATACAATAGCATTATCTGAGTCATGTACTGATTCCTCGCCAATTGGTAAATCAGACACTCAGAAACCATCTAATGTCTTTGTGACAAATGTTAAGATTGGTTCACGTACATCGTGATTTCGTGGTAGACATTGACAAAGTCATTGACATATTTGGACAAGGTCAATCTAGAAGACTGGCTCTTCTTTGACTAACATCTGTGACGACGCAATGCTGCCCTGGTGGTTTGTTAAATCCTCTCAGTCGTCATGAGATCCACCTTACGCTTTGAAGTTGAAGTGTTTCATTTACCGAGTTTTCGAGTTGTTTTTGAACTTAACTATTTACAATATTTATGTGGTCAGGGTCCGCTAGTTTGGAGTTATTTGTTATGTTTTGCATGTTTTACCATGTTATTGATGTTTGTCTTGACTTTATCTCGTGTTCAGAAGAATGCTTTACTGTTAGATGTGGTATAATCCCCCTGATTTCAAAATGTTTCATAAGCTGTGCTTACACTCTGCATTTTCCTGGCTACGAGGGCGGTGGGGTAGCCTAGTGGTTAAAGCGTTCGCTCGTCACGCCGAAGACCCGGGTTCGATTCCCCACGTGGGTACAATGTGTTAAGCCCATTTCTGGTGTCCCCCGCCGTGATGTTGCTGGAATATTGCTAAAAGCGGCGTAAAACTAAACTCACTCACTCACTCACTTCCTGGCTACGCATCTGGTACTGCCATTGTAATTCCTTTAGTGTAGTTTGTGTTGATATGTAAACTTAGTAAATATTAGAGTACCTTTGTTAACGATATCTCATTTGTTTGTTGGTTTTACATTGAGTTTTTAACGACCGATTTCCAGTTATGGCTTAACCTTGGGAGTCAACACATAACATGTTGTCAAGTAATAGACTTGATTAGAGAACTTCCATGTTAATATTTGTGTTTTTACTGTTTGTTTTATCGATTACTATAAGCATCAAAACTGCATAAGAACATCACTGAACTTACTGAATTGTAATACAGAACAAAAAGTATACGATTACACCGTATCTAAACATCACTCAATCAAATCCCTGAACAGCATAAAGAACAGCAAAAACGCAAGTTTCGAAAAAATGAAATCCCATGAAGGTAAGCGTTCATGTTTATGGAACGTTCATGGTACAGTGGCGTAATGATCCCAGATGAGATGATGTCATGCAATTTGACGTCCATACGAAACATTCGCACAAACACACCAACAGTGCAGCAAAACCATAATTTTAGCACGTGCATCGACGGTTCTGGATGAAAAGCATGCATTTCACTCTGAGGTATCCTTTATAAAGGTTTGTGTCAAAAAACAGTTCAGTATTGACACTAGGAGATGTACACGCCACACAAACGATGCCTAGACTAACGACTGAGCAGAGAGGAATGGCCATTGGAAAGTTGCACGGAGGTAGCTCTGCAACCGCTGTAGCTAGACAATTGGGCTGTCATCTTACCACCATTACACGACTTGCTCAACGTCATCAGCAAACCGGGGTTGCTGCTGATCGTCCCCGTACCGGACGGCAACGAGTGACATCTCATGCGCAAGATCGGTTCATCCGGGTCACTCATCTAAGGAACCGAACTCAAGCACCAACAGTAACAGCAGCCTTAGTTCATGGGTCAAGGGGAGCAGTGTCCAGCGATACGATTAGGCGTCGTCTTCGGGCTGCTGGAATCCACTGCCGAAGGCCATATGTGGGGCCAATTTTGACACGCCAACAACGCCAGCGACGTTTGCAGCCCTCCCACAGCAGGGGTGTCGATGGATTATCTGGCTCAAAACAACATTAACGTTTTCCATGGCCGTATCTTTCCCCGTATATGGCTCCCATTGAACATTCTGGGACGAAATTGGACGGAGGATTGGTGCAGGTAGACAGCCACTCACACTTGCACAATTGGAATAGAGATTGGTGTTTGAGCGGAACCAACCTCAGGCATTGCCTCTAGGCATTCTTTCAGACTCTAGGTGAACTCAATGAGGCCACGTTCGCGCAGGGGCCTGACGGACTGTGCAATTTGAACTTATTGCAATTCAATGTCAACAGCAACTTTCAGCTGGCCATACACGTCTATAGACTAAAGAGACTGATTTTCACTTCTTTCACGCGTTCAGCCAGGGTATCTCCATTTGACGGACTGTGATCAATTTGAACTTATTGCA